TTTAAAAAAATTGTATTTTGACCAAGAGCTTTCACGATATATTTTTTTTTTTTGTCGACCCACGATATCTATATAATTAATGAGGTAATTGTGAAAAAATATAAAATCAAGAGCTTTCACGATCTATAAGAAAATCAGTTGATTCTTGTTTTTTTTATTCTTATCACTAGCAATATTATACGTAACGTTATTGACTGTGTGATGGCGAATATGCTTTAAAATGCTTTTCAGTAAAAACTATATGATGTAAATATATATGTACTTTAAGAAATTTGGTTTTGTGTTAGTGCTAAAGCCGAATAAAATGGTATGGTAGATTTCGTGAAAACTATGATTATTAATTTTTGGTAATTTTTTATATATATTTTGGTTAAATGGTGGAAGTGGAACGTTTGTAGTATTCCTAATTCTGTTATATTGTCCATAATAAGATTTGTAGAATTAAATTATATATGAGAGATGCATAATTTTGATCTATATTGTACGTTAGTCTCTAACATCGGATCCGCTTAAAATTCAGAAAGGTGAGAGTATAGAAATCACTCTACAAAAATCCGGCATACCAATAAAAACAAGCAAACAACATATAAGAAATCAATTTTTTAAAAAATGTTAAATGGACGGACTTAAGATTGAGACTAATCATACTTTATCAAAACAAACGATACGATTGAGACTAATAGCTGAAAAAAGAAACGAAAGGCGTTTTTTCTATGAACTAAAAATAAAATCTTAACATAATTTACCTAAAATGCTAAAATAATATCATACATACGAGTCTGACCCCTAACGATGCATACAGCCACACGTAATTTAATTATAACGACATTACATTTATTTAGTAATCTAAAATGTACTATATTAATTAAGATGAATCATCATATTGTAATAAACCAATGGCTCTCGAATTTTCTTACACACCTAACTTTGTTCATGAATTGACATAAAATAGTTAATGCATTTGGTAAATTCAGAAAGATCCAAAATTTTAAAAGAAAAATAAATACACAATAGACATTTGTAAAGAACAAGTTCCATTTGGTAAATCAAATTCACAGTTTATCCAAAAGATAAGATTACAATAGACGGATCAACATATATAGACTTATTTTAACAGTTTAGATTTTTGATAATCGAGAAGAACTAGTTACAACTTATAAGTACATTGAAACAATATCGATCGATGATTCAGTATTGAGCCTCAATGATTCAATATTGAGCACTAAACCAAAACTTTATATTTGATATATATATTCCAGGGATAAAATATGCTTTGTATTATGTGATTCGATACAAATCAGCTCTACTTGTATTTTGTTTCCTGTTAAAGTTAGAAAGATCGTATCCATACAAATATGCGAGATGAGTAATCACGTGCCTAACATACATAGGAGTGCATGACTCTTCGAGAGAGTTTGAGATTTTTGATTCCGATTTGTCATTGAATCTATCAGAACAATTTGAATTTTGATTGTAAGTTGTAACTGTTCTTGTTTTTTTGTTGCACGTGGATACTGGTTTTGACCGTTATTGTTCATTTAAATTTTCTCGCGACTTCATTTGGCTTTGGTACTTATCAAATACTGTTGTCTTTAGTGATAAGTTTTGGGGTTATTATTATAAGATATCACACAGTTTTAGAGTGGTGTCATTTTCGTGAGATGTACATGTGTCATTGCATGCATGCATGCATGTGTATAAACCACTAATTATAACACTAACGATACAAACAAAATGCTTTATCAAAAAAATTTATCATTTTCTTTAACAAATTTTGTTGTTAGAGTGCAACTTGAAGACGCCCCTAGTCTTTGAAAATCAAAAGCACCCTTTCGTGCTAACCTCAAAACTAGCTGCGGGTGCAATAGCAGTACTACTGCA